TGACCCTGCATAGTGTTTCCTAGGAGCAGCTGGTAGATTTGAACCACCAACCTTGTGGTTAGTGACCCAGTACTTTTCCTACAGCACCATACAAGAACTTTGAGGCAAGTGTAGAGAGCTCAAAGTTTATTAGCGATTACTAGAGGCAGGTGGGAGAGAAGGGAAAAGGGGACTTGGTGCTTAGGGAATATTGCTTTTTCACTAAGTTGTTGTTGTTAAGAGCTGTTGAGTCAATTCTGACCCACAGCAACCCTGTATAGCGTTTCCAAGGAGCAGCAGGTGAGTTTGAACCACTGACCTTGCAGTTCAAACTGACCTTGCAGTCTGATGCATTAGCCCACAGCGCCACACCAAGACTCAAGGTGATGGCAAATTTTGAAAAGGGATAGCGGTAATGGATGAGCAACATGAAAAACATAACTAGTGCCACTGAGTTGTATGTGTGAAAAATGTTGAAATGCCAAATGATTTTTACATAAATATTTAACACCATTAAAAAAAAAAGAAGAAGAATTCTTTTTGCTACCATAGTCTAGAAAACTGAATGACCATTTTGAAGAATCCAAGTTTCTTGATAAATTCTGGCCCTGGCTAGTCACATACCCTTGGTTCAAACCAAACTAAAACAAAACAAAACAAAACAAAACAAAGACAACTCCCTAGATTTAACCTCATGGCTATGCCTGCGGGCCCAGTCAGGGCATTAATGGTAAGGGCCTGCAGCCAAGCTGTGACTACTCTTGAGAGAGCCTAAATTCAGCCGAGTAAAACGAAGCCTTGTTTGATAATATCGTTTACATTTCCAAATCCTGGGTATCAAGCTTTCTTCCTATCCCTTGTGGCCCTTCCTAAGTTTAGCTGATGGTGTAATGGGGTAACCATGGCAACAACCACCTGCCTATTTAAAACCAGCTCCAATGCTAAATAAGGAAGTCTGGGGAAAATGGCTGCTCGCCTGCCTCTCTGTGGACATACTGGGCACTCCAGGGTATTTTCCCACATGGGCACGCAGTCAGGATGGACACAGCACAGGTCCACAGTTACTAACAGGAAGTGTTTGGTGACCTTGTGAAGCAGGAGTCACCTTTATCCCCCAGTATTTATACTTATTACACTAGCACATGGATTAACTTGCAAAGCATGCCAGGCGACCTCACCACCTTGACTTCCACCAGGTGAAAGGTAACCCTAACCACAGAGTAGTCTTGCTAATGGGGAAGTGGCAAGGAAACAGTAATTCAGATTACAGTGAATTTGTTCTTAAGCATTGGTCTGCTAACCAAAACGCTGGCAGTTCAAACCCGCCAGCTGCTCTTCAGAAATTCTATAAAAGGTCGTGATGAGTCAGAACAAACTTGATGCCTTTTAATAACAAGCACTGAAATAGGGTTCTTGGTGGTGTAGTGCGTTACACGTTGAGCTGCTAACTGCAAGGTCAACAGTTTGAATCCACCAGCTGAGAAAGCTCTCTGTTCTCCTAAAACCTTACATAGGGTCACTGTGAGTCAGAAGAGGATCTGTGTTAGTGGGTACTAAAATAATAGCACTGGAAAGCACATTGCAATTCTCCCCTCCCACCCCCCTGCCTTTCTGACAGGCTTATTTTCCTAATTGTATTTAGTTCAAACTAATGTTAACAAGCTGCGATATACAGATGACACAACTTTGGTTTCTGAAAGCAAAGAGAACTTAAAATACATACCAATGTATTTTACATACCAATGTATGGGTTGCACCTCAATGTAAAGGAAACAAAAATCCTCACCACTGGACCAATAAATAATACCATGATAAATAGAGAAAAGATTGAAATTGTCAAAGACTGCATTTTACTTGGATCCATCACCAACGTTCATGGAAGCAGCAGTCAAGAAATCAAAGGACATAGTGCATTGGGCAAATCTGCTGCACAAAAGTGTTCAAGAGCAAAGATAGCAGTCTGAGGACTAAGGTGTGCCTGACCCAAGCCATGGCATTTTCATTAGCCTCATATGCTTGTGAAAGTTGAACAACTGAATAAGAAAGATGGTAGAAGAATTGATGCATTTGAATTATGGTGTTGGAGAAGAATATTAAAAATTCTATGAACTGCCAGAAGAACAAATCAATCTGTATTGGAAGACATGTAGCCAGAATGCTCCTTAGAAGTCAGGATGGCCAGGCTTTGTCTTTCATACTTTGGACATATTATCAGGAGGAACTAGACATCATGCTTGGTAAAAGAGGGTCAGCGAATATGAGGAAGACCCCCCAGCTAGATGGACTGGCACAGTGGCAGCTGCAATGGGCTCAAGCACAACAACGGCTGTGAGGACAGTACAGGACCAGCTAGTGTTTCATTCTTCTGTGCATATGGTTGCTATGAGTCGGAACCGACTCGACGGCACCTAACAGCATCAATATTAAAACATACAAAGGAAAAAAGTGAAGAGCAAACCAATATCCCAGCTATCTTACTTTGATAGTTCAGGTTGCAGAACTTCCCATATCAATTCACAGAATTGGCAACTGCTCTCTCTATACCATATTTTAACCTGCATATTTATTTTTGGAATATGGAAAAATCTTTGCTCCCGTGCTCTCTACAAACTACAGAGGCCTCCTTTCCTTCCCACACCATGAGACCATACAACTGGCCCCTGTGAAGGACTGACTCTTCCCCAAGCATGCTGTGCTCTCACTCCTTTGTATCTTTTCTACACTCACTTCCTTCTGTTTGGACTGCCCGGCCACCTTGATCTAGTCTGGAAAATGCACATTTGTTTTGCATCTTGGTTCAGACGTCTCTGCCTTTGAAAAACCCTCAAGGCAAGGCCAAGTCGCATGCCATGCTTCATGTTCCCATTAAAAACAAAACAAAACTCCAAAGAGTTGCCATGGAGTTAGTTGACTCTGACTCTTGGTTGGCTCCATGTGTGTCAGAGTGGAATTGGGTTCCATAAGGTTTTCAGTGGCTGGTTTTTCAGATGTAGATCCCCAGGCCTTTCTTCCAAGGTGCTTCTGGGTGGAGTTGAACCTCTAGTCTTTTAGTTGGCAGCTAACAACTTTAACTATTTATACCATCCAGGGACTTCTGTGTTATTGTGTTGTTGTTAAGTGCCATGGAGTTAGTTCTGATTCATGTTGCTGCTTCTGCGTGTCATCAAGTCTGTTTCATCTCATAGTGACCCTATGTAGGGCTTCTGAAACTGTAAATCTTTACAGGAACAGGAAGCCTCATTTTTCTCCCATGGAGCGTATAGTGGATTTGAACTGCTAACTGTGTAGTTAGCAGCCCAGCACATAACCCACTATGCTACTAGGGCTGACCTTGCATAGGGTTTCTGAGGAGTAGCTGATGGATTTGAAGCACTGACTTTTAGGTTAGCAGTCTAGTGCTTATCCTAAAGCGCCTCACCAGAATGCCATGTGTTTCTATGGTTCACTTTTATTAAAAAATTGTCAATCCGTCACCACCACTGTGTGTGGACTGTGACTCCCCTACACATCTCTGTCCCAAACACCTATATAGCATTGCGTGTGAGATAGTCTTACAAGGTACTGTTGAGTAAATGAAAGAATAAACAGAACGCCCATGGAGTTCAGCATCTTAACAGACCTACATGCACATGCATGCGTTTGGGTACCTATGTGAAAAGAGTACCTTAAATTCTGTGGGGTGAGTGGAAGCATGCTGTTGTTGTTGTTATGGGCTGTCGAGTTGGTTCTGACTCATAGCGACCCTGCATCGGGCTTCCAAATGGCGGTTTGTGGGTTTGAACTGTCAACTTTGTGGTTAGCAGTCCAGTACTTATCCTACAGTGCCAGGTGGAAGTATAGAAGGATAAAAGAGAGACTGTGTATAGATAGGAGAATGAGAAAGAATGTGAGACCCCTCTGTGAATGAAGTCGGAGTAGGGACTGATGATAATTGTATTGATTGCGTGTGAGCGAGACAGCCGTGTCTGTGACAAAAAGTGAATGCAAACTCCAGCAAGGGGGTTCAGCTGCTATTAGATCCCACAGGAAGTTTCCTGAGGTTCATCCTCTGATCCCTGCAAAGACTTTTCTCTTCTTGTTTATCCTCCCAGGCTGTGGGGTCAGGGGGAAGGAGTAGAAAAGAAATTGTTGGACTTTAAATGAATGTCTTCAGATAACTTCCTGACCTTAGCTTTGAAGAGAACCTGTGTGTTAAATAGTATCAATGCCTCCAAACTAAAATAGAGTCCAAATTATTACTCTCCCTCCTTCCCACCCACCTGAGGTGGGACTAGGGTCCAGTGATCATCCTGAAATGGTACCACAAAGAGGAAAGAAAAAGGATAGGAATTAATCCAGGAAAAGAATAAAAGAGAGATGTGAGAAGGGGGTCAGAGAACCATCCCAGGAGCAACGGTGTGTGGCTGTCCCAGCTCAGTTCTCTGGAGTTCCCTTTCTCAAGCGAGAAGAAGGGGAGAAGAAGGGTTTGTTTTGTTTGTAAATGACGTGGGTTTCTCTTTTCTTTCGTTTTTTAGGACATGACATCCAGACTTCACACAGGGCGGTCAGGCTGAGGTTGGGACCTGGTCTTGAGAGGCAGACACTTTCCTAGTGCTCTGAGGTGTGACTGCCCCCTGCCCTTTGAGATGGAGAGAAGCTGAGGGTTTCTGGGAAGTCTTCTACCTCTCCACTGCTTTTCTACAAGAGTTGCAGGGCTGGAGGCAGGGTAACTGTACATTTCAAGAAGGCAGAGTTCTAGAGAGGGGTTCCTACAAGCCAAGGGCACCTCATGCCTTCCCTTCCCACCCTCCATCCCCTCTCCCTGCACGGCAGGCATCCTTTGGGAGGGGCCCACGGCCAATCTGTAGCAGGTTTCTGACATTTTTTTTCTTCTTGGAAATGAAAACCCTTTATTTCAGTGTGTGTAAGGAAAGCACAGTCCCTTGCCATGAGAGCAGGTGGGAGGCCTGGGGCTGGCCAGGCTGGGTGGGGTTGTAGAGGAAGGCAGAAAAGGCAGGCCTGTTGGGGCCGGGGCCTCTTACCTGCTGTTGAACTTTTCAGGTTGTTTCTCTCTCATCATGTGGAATCTGTGTGCAATGGAAGCATCCTGAAAGGGCAAGAGAGGACAGCAGATCCTGAGTGAGTGGTCATGCCTCCCAGACCAAGACGCCATCTCACAGATGAGAAGTCCGAGGCTCACACAGAGGCCAAACAGCATATCCAAGGTTGCACACCAATGCCACGCATGCTTTGAAAGCTCCTATCAGTGGACCCCAAGGAGCTCTGGTAGCATAGTGGTTACGAATCGGGCTGCGAACCATAAGGTCAGCAGTTCGAAACTACCAGCTGCTCCGCGGGAGAAAGATGAGGCTTTCTACTCCCGTAAGGATTTACACCCTCGGAAACCCTGTACAGGGTCGCTATGGGTCGGAACCGACTCGAAGGCACTTAACAACAACAACAACATCAGTGGACCCCGGAGCCCTTGCAGTGGTCACACTTTACTTGACTAGTGTGAAGCAAACAGTTGAGGGGTGAGTGGAGGGGACAGCCTGGGTTCCCTGAAGAGACAGAGGGATCGGTGAGCAGTTAGAATACAGTAGCTTGTGTGTGGGCTGAGTATGAGTTTTTGGAAATGCCTTATCATATTATGTTGCAGGCTGTATTTTAAAATATTTTAAGACTCACAAGACCTTGCAAGGATAGTACAGACAGCATCCCCAAATGCTAACATCTTACATAACTACTGAACATCGTCAGAAGTAGGAAACTGATATTGGAATGATGCTATTAGACAATAGCTCTTAATCAACCACATTAATAGAAAGAATGAGTGGCATTAGAACGCTTCCTTACCAAAAAAAAAAAAAAAAAGACTTATTGACATTGGGAAGAGTGGCAAGAGCCATTTTAGTGGAGTGACCAAACAGGAGAAGTCAGAAATTAGAATATATACTTTCTTATTATTTATTGATGGGGTACAGAGTTCCTAGGTAGTGTCAACTGTTAATGTATTTGGCTACTAACAGAAAGGTTGGAGGTTCAAATTTACCCAGAGGTGCCTCCAAAGAAAGACCTACCAATCTACTTCCCCAAATATCTGCCATTGAAAACCCTCATCATTCTACTTTACCACACATGGGGTCACCATGAGTCAGCGTTTACTAACAGCAACTGTTTCTTTTTTAGGAAGTTAACAACAACAACATGGCCACTGTAGGGCATTCCTGACCACCTCTCCTCTGAACTTACTTACAGTTAGAATGGCTCCCATGATGCTGTGCTTCCAGCTCTCCAGCCACTGACCCACCCTCTTAGCCGTAAACAGTGGGGTTCTCCTAACTCTCATTTCTAGATACTGATGCCTCGATAGGTCTAGCTACAAACCCAATCCTATACTTTAAGCCTAAGATTGATCTTCCCCTCTTGCTGCAGAGGTCTATTTCCCCTTCACTGTCTAAGCCCCATGGTCAGCTCATGGCATGCAGGTGCTGGGCTTTTGAAATAAATAGGTCAGTTGGGCATGAGGGAACAGACAGCACAGAAACAAGGGAGCTGATTTGGAGTTGTGCACAAATATAGAAACCTAATTACTAGACTGGTCACTAAAAAAGACCTAAATTCCATGCAGTGAGTTTTCAGTTAATGCATATTAAATTCATTTCCTGATCTGGAAACTCTATAAATGAAAATATATGAATTTTTTTTTTTTTTTAATATCGGGAGGTATAGGTTCAGTGAACCAGCAATTTTTGAGCATTTACTGAGTACAGTGAGTGAATGTGGGCGGGGACAGAAGATTCAGAAGCAAGTGAGGGGCAAAGAGGAGATTTTGCACAGTGAAATCTGTGAGAGCCACAACTGGACGGGGTTGCCTTGTTTTTCTGAGTCTTGCAATGTTTCTACCTTTGACATGGTGTGGTTTTAGCACTTTTCTATTGCTTGTTTTGATGGAAAGTACTCATATTTGAGTTTTCCTCCTTTCACAGGTTTCTGTATTACACAGGTTCTGGCTTTCACAGGTTTGACTGTATGTGGTTTTGGCAAGGCAACCCAGCCAGCTGTTGAAAATGGGGAAGGCAGTTCAAGAAGATGAGTTTATTTTGTGCTTGTCAGACTCTTGACTGAAATAATGTCCTAGGAATTTAACATTTACATTTTAGCTGTGGATTTTTCATTTTGTTTCGTTTTATAGTTTAAGATACATCGCAAGTTGAAGGCACCCTTGTAGATGCCTGGGAGGGAGATGTGTACTCCCCTCTTCTATTGGGATCCATCCTGCCCGAACAGCTTTGAAGACAGTAGAGCGTCCTGCTCGTAGGCTATACCACCTCCCTCTCCCTGAGTGAGTTTCATTGAACATGCTGAATAAGATTCATATGACATTCGTCAAATGCTTCTTGAGAGTTCAAGAAAACATTCCATCTACTTGTGCTCCTTTGAAGCATGAGTTTTCTTCCATCTGGGAGAAAACAAAAATGCCTATCACATGTTGCCTGGCATGATTTGTACTTTTACTAACCTCTGGACTCCTGATGTGGCACTGTAGAATCAGCACTAGACTGCAAACCACCAGGTCAGCAGTTCAAACCCACCATATGCTCCTCGGAAACCCTATACAGAATCACTATGAGTTGGAACTGAGTTGAAGGCACTTAACAATAACAGCTCCCAGTACTGCTGTGACTGACTCCTTTAAAAAAAAAAAAAATTCTCTGGAATATGCACACAGGCATATTTGGAGTCCTGATGGTCCTTGGTTGTTTCCTATCAAGGTTTTTTTTGTCGTTGTTGTTCTCCATAGGTTTTGCAAAGCTTCTTTTTACAGAGCTCAGCTTTTACAATATTATTAATTAAGCTGTGTGAGTATGAATGTGAGAATGTGGTCGGCTGGTAAATACACAACATACAAGAGAGAGTTGAAGAGCTCTTCTGCTGTTAATGCTTGAAAAGACTAAGATGGTCAACACTCAGACCATGTTTTTGGATCTGTGGATGAAGAAGAGAGTCACGATTCACCTTCCTCCTCCCCACTGAGCTTCTCTGGGTCAGGCATGATTTATATTCAGAAGTGTTTCACTGACATGTTGGGAACCTGTGCTACCATGGTCCAAGCCTTTTCTTGATACAGCAAAATGAGACTTCATAAAAAGGCAGAATGCCTTTGTCCTGCCTAGCCTTCCTCCTTCAGCTTTAAGAAATCTGTCGTGAAGAGAGAAGATAGGAATTGCAAACCCATGCAAATCATGATGATGGCATTTCTGAAGGCTGCATTGTGTGGGAGAATTTCCTATATGGTATTAGGTAAAGAGATGAGGAGAGATATGGCCCAGACTAGTCTTTCTTGTATTCATACTCCAGGCACACAGTTGGATGCAGAATCTTTGTGCCCTTTCTAGTAATTTGAACTGTGAAATATTGAAATGTCTACGCCAGCACTGTACAAACAGAAGTATAGTGTAAGCTACTTACATAACTTAAACTATTCTAGTGGTTGGTTGTGTGTCACCGAGTTGGTTCCACTAATAGCGATTCTATATAAGGCTTGTTGTTGTTATTATGTGCCGTGGAGTTGGTTCCAACTCATAGCATTTCCGAGGCTGTAAATCTTTACAGGAGCAGAAAGCCTCATCTTTCTCCCAAGGAACAACTGGTAGATTCCAACTGCTCATCTTGCAGTTAGCAGCCCAGCTGGCAATCCATTATGTTACCAGGGCTCCTTCTACTATTCTAGTAGTTACATAAACAAGAAAAAAACAAAACAAAACAAAAAATCCAGATCAAAGTAATTTTAATAATATATTTTAATTAACCTGAGGCACCACAGATATGAGTCCTGGTGTGCCGCTGTGGGCTAAAGTGCTGGACTGCAAAGATGGTTTGAACCACAAGGTCGGCAGTTCAAGCTCACCAGCCGCTCCTTGGAAATCCTATACAGAGTCGCTATGGGTCAGAACCAACTCCTTAACAACACAAACAACTACAGATATTATTATTAAAATAACATGTCATGTAATTAATAGAGGAAATACTATTGAAATATCTTGCATTCTTTTTTTTTTTTTTTAAATACCAAATTTTCAACATCTGCTGTGTATTTGATACTTAAAGCCCATCTCAGTTTGGGCAAGTCAGATTTCAAGTGTGCAGTGATCATGTGTGACTAGTGGCTACCATATTGGGCAATGGGCAGTACAGGTCTAGGTTGCCTTGATAATTTATTGAGATAACAAGCAGAAAGGGGACAGTAGAACAGGTTAGTTGGCAATGGGATTATCTGAAAAACTTTTGACAGAGTAGGGAATGGAAAAGAATGTGAACCCTTTGCCTAGTCTCTTCCCTGAGTCCCATTGTCTCTGTAAATTCATAACTCTACCAGATGACAAACAAGAACCTGATGTTAAGGAAATCCCAAAGTCTGCAGATTTGTGATCAGTCTGCTAGTGGAGTGAAGGCTCGTCGTTGGGGGAACCTGGCTGGCGGAAAGTGGTGTGTGCGTTAGTGTGACAGGCTGTGACCTTCCCTTGACCCTTGGGTTCTCCTAGCATCAGAAATAGATTTCATTGAATCAAGGGATTAGCTGTCCAGTCACTGTGTTAAGGCTTGGTGAAAGCAGAGCCTTTGAGGGTTTCAGAGTTCCACAGAGCACAGGAACTGTTTTGCAGTCCGAAACTTCCTGTCACTGATACCTGGCCATCCTGACATTTCTACAAATCCAAAAATAAAGAGCAGGGAAGACAAGACCAAAGAAGTCAGAGGAAGTGGTGTCCTGAATGACTATGTTTAAAATCTCTTGCCAAGGGATAGCACCAGTTAAAAGGCCTGCTAGGCCAAGTCTCTCAACTCCACACTGATGAGAACCTGGCATGGGGTTACTTAGAAAGTGTTGGTAACGAGGCCCACAGTCACTCCCTGGGTAGGCCAGTAGAATCTGGACCCTCTGCCTTGTTACTCCTTGAATTCATCAAGGCCAGTTCTTTACCACCCAGGAACACCGCAGAGTGGTGCTCACTGTCATCACTTTTGTAAATGCAAGGCAGCAGACATTTATACCAGTAAGACATTCCAACTTCTTCAAAAGACTTTGCACGGCTCTCTTTACCAAGGAGTCCGACTCTATTTAATCATCATAAGGAAGTAAAACTGGGTTGGTTTACATACCTACTTCTCCTCTTACAATGTCTGGGAAGTCAAATAGGGAGCAAGACCTTCTGCAAATGTCAGCCCCAGTCTCTGTTAGGGTTGTGTGTTGGTTACTTGTTTTCTCAAGAATTTCCCTCTCCAACTGTTAAAGACCGAGCACATAAACCCTGCAAATATTTTACTGAGAGAAGGTGAAGGGTATACCAACAAGAAAAAAATAGCCCTGGTTCTCACTCCTCTGCAATAAAATGTTAAACATGCATAAGCCGAAAGTATTTGAAAAAAAGAAATTCTGAGGAAGCTATTGTAAAGTTCTTCATAATTTGAAAGTTGAACAGATTGATAGCTTGACCACTGTGGGTAATGGGGAATCTGTTGAGCCTTCCATCCGCACCCTCCCCTCCTTCTTGTTTGCAGCAATGTTGACACCATGAGATAGGTCCTGGATAGGCCACTGATCAGTCTTGGCTTTGGCTGTTGTTGTTAAGTGCCATCAAGTCAGTTCTGACTCACAGTGATCCTGTGTAGGGTTTCTGAGGAGCAGCTGGTGAATTTGAACTGCCGACCTTATGATTCAAATTGCCCTTGTGGTCGAGTGTTTATCCTACAGTGCCATACTAGGTCTTGGTTTTAAGGACTGGTTATCTAATTCAGCTGCCACTTGTCTAATCAGTTTGTCATACTATGTTGTCTTGCATGTTGCTGTGATGCTGGAAGCTATGCTACTGATATTTGAAATACCAGCAGGGTCATCCATGGTGGTCAGGTTTCAGCGGTGCTTGTAGGCCTTAGTCTACAGACTAGGAAGAAAGGGCTGGCAATCTACTTCAGAAAATTAACCAATGAAAACCCCATAGATCACAACAGAATATCGTGTGGTAGTGTTCGAAGATGAGTCCCCTAGGTTGGAAGACACTCAACAATGAACTTGAGCATAACAATGATCATGAAGAAGGTGCAGGACTGACCAACATTGTATCTCTTGTACCCGCCGTTGCCAGGAGTTGGAGCCAACTCTATGGCAAATAACAACTAGCAGTCTAGTTGTGGGGAGGTTATCAATTCCATTTCGGGGTGCTCATCCATTTGGTTTGCAAACACTAGTCAAGTGCCTGCCAGGTGTTTCCAGCCATCAGACCTAGGTGTGCTTAGAAAAGGAAAAGTTTAGGGCTATAGACTCTGAAGGCAGCTGTGGCTGAAACCTGCCATCTAGAAGTTTTCAGGAAGGTTGTCCAGTCCTGCTACTCTGCTCTTTCATGCAGGGGCACTGGTTGTCTCCTCCCTTCTTACTTCCCTCTCTTTTATCTACTGTAGTCTGCCTCTGCTCCTGTGAAGATCCACTGCCTCAGCCCATGGTTCTCTGCTCTCCTGAGTTGTCTTCACTCACTCAGGACCATCAGCATCAGAATTACCTCAGGGGCTTGTTAATTATGCAGATTCCCACAACTGACTCTGACCCACTGAAACAGAATATGAATCCGAATCTGGTGGAATCTGCATTTCTAACCGGGGCACTAGTCAGCCACATTGGTCACTCCCCAGACACTGGAAAGGCTGTGCAGAAGCCACATAGCTCAGGGTCCAGAGCTCAGTCAGGCCCTGGAGCTAGGATTTCTGCAGGTATGCTATCTGGCTCTATCACTTGCCAGCTTGGATCTGTTTCTTTATCCCTCTAAGCTAAAGTGCCTCCTTACAAAACAAATGACTATATCTACCTCATAGGAAAACTCTCCTTCTGTGCAGTAGGTACTCAGGAAATGTTATCAAGTTATATTGTGGTTTTTCAAGGACAAATATAAACTGAGTTTCTATAAAACCATCATGACAGGAAGTCCACATTCAGAAGCCAGCTGAACTCCAGACCTGTCAGTCATATTTAGTCATATCTGGTATGTAGGAGCTGAAGAGGGCATGAGCTCCTGCTGGGAAGATGTGGGGTCTGAGCAGATGACCCCAAAGGAGAGGGGCCTTGAAACAAGAATGGGAGAGTGGTGTCTGCCTAGGCCTCTGGAGAGAGAACTAGACGAGGTAGAGGGGAAGTAGTTTACCCCAACTGAGGCCAGGGTGCTGGGGTGACAAATTAGATTGGGGCACAAGAATCCCTGTATTTGTTCCCAGTCCCCCACACCTCCACTTTCTCAGAACCCGATCATGGGTCTATCAAATCCTCTCCTGTTTTAGTAAGAGAAAGAGCACTGCATGAAACCCATGCCCATTGCCATTGAATTGATTCCAACACATAACAACCCCACGTGTTTGGAGTAGAACTACTCCATAGGCTTTTCTAGGCTACAATCGTCAGGGAAGTAGATCACCAAGCCTTTCTTCAATGGTGCCACTGAGTAGGTTTGAGGTTAGTAGTTGTTGTTAAGTGCTGTCAAGTCGGTTCTGACTCAGAACAACCCTGTGTAGGTTTCCAAGGAGAGGCTGGTGTGGTTGAACCACCGACCTAGTGGTTAGCAATCCATGTGTGCCACCCAAGGACCATGAACATTGGATGAGGACTCAGAAAAACAAAGGCAAATCTCTTAATCTCTCTGAGTGTCTGTTTCCTTACCAATACAATGAAGATAATAATTCCCTTCAGTGTACTCATAAGAATCAAGAAAAGATGGCAGTTTAAATCCTTCTGTAAACATAAGCTATTATTATTTTTAATCCTTTCCTCTTCCACAGTTCTCCTTTTAGTCTTCCTACTAAAAAACCAGACTCTTCCCGTAAGCCTGCTGTCTCTTTAAGGTACCTAACAGTTCCTTCTCTCTTTCCTGTTATTTATTATTTTTTTAAGCACTACAGTTTTCAAAAGAGGCCTATGTGGGGAAGGTTGTGCACAAGTCTCTCACAGTCTAGGCCCAGAGGACTGGTCTGGAAGGAGTTGTAAGCATATGAAATTGGGAAGTGTAGAGGGAAGAACTTGGCATTAGACTAAAGCAGGGCTACGTGAGTCTTAGTATTACCCCTAGTCAAGTGTCCTCAGGCCTCATCTGTAAAATGGGGATATCCATACGTACTTTGCAGGATTACTAGGAGGGCTACAATATAGAAAGTCTGGCACAGTAGAGAGCCCATTGTATTTCCCTCCCAAACCCCAGTTCTATGTATGAAAATGATCCATCACCACCCCCTCCCTCACGCCAACGGCCTGGAAACAGTGTCCACCCTAGTCCTCTCTGTACCACACGTTGAGTTCAACAAAACAGAGTAACTGAGCTATGCTGGATGTGTTGGGGACCGGGGAAGAGAAGCCGGAGGTGGCACTGTCCTTGCCTCTCTTGGGTGTTGGAGAAGCCAGGCACATTAAACCAATCCCTTCCATCTAATGCAGAGAGTGTACTTACAGGGTAAGTACAGAGCCTAGCCTGAGGGGGCACCAATGAGAATTAGGGAGCAACCCCCTTGAGGGGTCAGCCTGGAGAAGATACCCCAGAGGTTTGTGAAGCACTTGTGCAATGGGGTTGAGACAAGAAGAGACAATAGAAGAAGAAATCCTATAAATTAAACTAGCCAAGCCAGCTTGAAACCATATGGGCCTCCCTTGAGGGCAGAATTCCCAATTCTGTAATCTTAGGCTACAATCTCCTCATGACCTCGCTCCTTAGTTATGTCTTGGTGTTGTTTTTCTTTAACTGCTTTAAATGACTTAAATGATAAATATGTTTGAAAAAGTTCTATCTTTCCTCCTTGTGCTACTTAACATACGAGGGGTAGGGATTTTCTCACAACCAAGGAGAAGAACTGGGGCAATTAGGGTGTGTGGTCCCAACCCAGACGAGAGGAGGCTTGGATCTAAGTCAGGGCTGGCAGCAGCTGGGACAGGTAGAGCAGGAAACCAGAGTGGTATATCTAAGGACTAACTCTTCCTGTCCCCCTAGGCATTCTCTTTCTGGAAAGAAAGCAATTTCTGGCCAACTCACCACGCCAATGGAGAAATAGTTGTTCATGATGTTGTACGGGACCTGGTCCCCGTTCTCCACCTCCTCTCTGGGGCTGACTTCCAGGTGCCAGCGGTCCAGCATGACCAAGGGACTCTGTTCGATGTCCTTCAGAATTTTCGTCAAGCTGCCCCCCTCGTAACCTGCGGAGCACAGTAAGGCATTTGCCACCAGAGTAGAGATACTAAGTTGTTGCTGATGCATAGAAAGCTGTCAGAGTAGGGATCCCCCTGCACATTGGGACAGGGAGACTCCCCAGTGTGTCCTTGTATTGGAGATACTTATGTTCCCTGAACTATGGAGAAGGGGAGGGCAACAGGAGCCAGTTAGAGAGAGACTGGGTGATTTGGAAGTAGGAAGAGCAGGGGGTGCTGGCAAAAGTGACAGGGCTAGGTAGCTGAACACTAGAGAATTCTAGTGATCTGGACAGTTAGGAGGCTGCTCATAAGAGGACAACAGAGCTGCTCCAGGACCATGCCATGTTAGACACCGTGTGGTAGACAGAATTTTAAGATCTTCCCCATAATTTCTATATCTCTTACAATTGCCGGGACTTGTAAGAACAACAACTTTTGGTTGTTCTTGTTGTTATTAAATGACGTCAAGTTGGTTCTGACTCATAGTGACCCAGTATGGGTTCCCGGGAGTAGCTGGTGGGTTTGAAATGCTGACTTTGGGGTTGGCAGTCCAGTGCTGATCCTAAGGCACCACACCAAGAGTTATAGTTAAGAAAGAAAGATCATTCTGTGGGAATCGGACTTAACCAGGTAACAATAAAAGGAACCTGGCTCTTCCTTAAGAAAGAGGTTAAAAGTTTGAGAAGGATTTGATGTGAGGGAGATGTTTTGTTGTTAGCTATGAATACGGAGGGATCCATGTGGCAAGGAATGTGGGTGGCCTCTAGAAGATTAATGTGGTCCTCTGATGACAACTAACAAAGATGTAGTGACCTCCATCCTACAGTCACAAGGAACTGAATTCGGTTAACAATATGAATGATCTCACAGGCAAATTCTATCTTAGAGCCTCCAGAAAAAAACACAGTCCAAATGACATCCTGATTTCAGCTTAAGACCCTGAGATGATAACACCCAGCCATGCAGTACCAGAACTTTTGACCTACAGCTTTTGAGATAATAAATAGGATTGGTTTAAGGTGCTAAATTTGTGGTAAATTGTTATGCAGCAATAGAAAACTAATTGTTGTTGTTAAGTGCTGTTGAGTTTGTTCTGAATTATGGTGACCCTATACACAAAAGCACCAGGAATTGATGGAATAAAAATTGAAATATTTCAAGAAAGTGAGGCGGCACAGGAGACACTCACTCATCTATGCCAAGAAATTTGGAAGACAACTATCTGGTCAACTGATTGGAAGAGATCTGTATCTGTGATCATTCCAAACACAGGTAAACCATCGGAATGTGGAAATCATCCGATAATATCTTTGATATCCCATGCAAGTAAAGTTTTACTAACGGTAATACAGAAATGGCTGTAAGCATACATTGACAGAGAAATTCCAGAGGTTCAAGTTGGAGTCAGAAGAGGACGTGGAATGAGTGATATCATTGTTGATGTCTGATGGATCTTGGCTGAAAGCAGAGAATACCAGAAAGGTGTTTACCTGTGCTTTATTGACTATGCAAAGGCCTTCGATTGTGTGGATCATGACAAGCTATGGACAACATTGCGAAACATGAGTATTCCGAACACTTAATTGTGCTCATGAGGAATCTGTACATGAACCAAGAGGCAATTGTTCGAACAAAGCATGGGAACACTGCATGGTTTAAAAATAAGAAAGGTGTGCGACAGGGTTGTATTCTTTCACCATATTTATTCAACCTGTATGCTGAGCAAATCATCCGAGAAGTTGTGTTATATGATGAGAAATGTGGCATCAGGATTGGAGGAAGACTCATTAACAACCTGTGATATGCAGATGATACAACCTTGCTTCTGAAAGTGCAGAGGACTTAAAATACTTACTGATAAAGATCAAAGAGCACAGCCTTCTGTGTGGATTGCATCTCAATGTAAAGAAAACAAAAATCCTCATCACTGGACCAATAAAACAACATTCTAATCAATGGAGAAAAGATTTTTCATGTTGTTAGGTGTTGTCAAGAAGTTGTCAAGGACTTCGTTCTTCTTGGATCAACCATCAACACTCATGGAAGCAGCAGTCAAGAAGTGAAACGACATAATTGCATTAGGCAAAACTGCATCACAAGACCTTTTTAAAGTTCTGAAGAGCAAAGATGTCAGCTTGAGGACAAAGGTGTGCTTGACCCAAGCCATGGTATTTTCAATAACCTCATAGGCATGTGAAAACTGGACAGTGAATGAGGAAGACCGTAGAAGAATTGATACTTTTGAGTTATAGTGCTGAAGGAGAATGTTGAAAGTACCATGGGCTGCCAAAAGAACAAACAGATTTGTGTTGGAAGAAGTGCAGCCAGAATGCTCCTTGGAGGCCAGGATGGCCAAACTTTGTCTTTCATACTTTGGAATATATTGTCAGGAGGGACAGGTCACTGGAGAAGGAGATCATGTTTGGTAAAGTGGAGGCTCAGAGAAGATCCCCAGTGAGATGGACTGGCAAAGTGGCAACATCAAAGGGTTCAAGCGTGGCAACAATTGTGAAGTTGGCCCAGGACCTGGCAGTGTTTTGTTCTGTTGTGCATAGGGTCGCTATGAGACAGTACCGACTCGATGGCACCAAACAACAACAACAACATAAACAACAAAATGAAATACTGCCCAATCCAGTACCATCCTCACAATTGTTACTATGTTTGAGGTCATTGTTGCAGCCCCAATGTCAATTCATCTGTTTGAGACTTTTCCTCTTTTATGCTGACCTTCTACTTTACTAAGCATGATGTCCTGCTCCAAGGACCGGTCCCTCCTGATAACATTTCCAAAGTATATGAGATGAAGTCTAGCCATCTTTGCTTCTAAGGAGCATTCTGGCTATAGTTCTTACAACATAGATTTGTTCATTCTCTTGGTATCCCATAGTCTATTTTACATTCTTTGCCAACACCATAATTGTTCTTCAGCTTCCATATTCATTGTCCAGCTTTCCCATGTATATGAGGTGAATGAAAATATATGGGCATTGGTCAGGTATACCTTAGTCATCAAAGTGGCATCTTTACTTTTTAACACTTTAAAGAGGTCTTTTTTTTTTTTTAATGGTTATCTGTGCTTTATTAACAGTGCAAAGGCATTCGATTGTATGTGTCACAGCAAACTATGGACAACATTACAAAGAATTAATATTCCAGAACACTTAATTGTACTCATAAGGAACCTATAGATAGACCAAGAGGCAGACTTTAAAACAGAACAAGGACACTAAATGCTTTAAAATTAGGAAAGATGTATGCCAGGTTGTATCTTTTCACCATAGTTATTCAATTTGTATACAGAACAAATAATCTGAGGATCTGGATTACATGAAGACGAATGTGGCATAAGAATTGGAGGAAACTCATTAAAAATCTCCAATATGCAGATGACACAGCTTTGCTTGCTGGAAGGGAAAAGGACTTGAATTATTTACTGATAAAGATCAAAGACTACAGCCTTCAGAATGGATTGCATTTCAATGTAAAGGAAACAAAATACGTCATTATTTGTACAATAAATTTGTACATAAAGTACAATACGTCATTATTTGATTTCTTGACTGTGGATTCCATGGGGGTTGATAGTGGATCCAAGTCAAATCAAATCCTTGACAACATTGATCTTTTCTCCATTTATCATGATGCTGTTTATCGGTCCACTTGTGAGGATTTTTGCTGTCTTTACATTGAGTTGTAATCCAGACTGAAGGATTGGAGTCTTTGATCTTCATCAGTAAGTGTTTTGAAAGTCCTCATCACTTTTAGCAAGCATGGTTATATCATCTGCATATTGCAAGTTGTTAATTGAACCTTTCTCCAATTCTGATGCCACCTTCTTTTTCATATAGTACAGCTTCTTGGATTATTTGCTCAGCATACAGATTGAATGAGTACAGTTAAAAGGATACAACCCTGGTGCACACCTTTTCTGATTTTAAACCATGTAGTATCCCCTTGTTCTACTTGAAGAGCTGTCTCTTTGTCTGTGTACAGATTCCATATGAACACAATTATGTTTTCTGGAATTCTCATTCTTTGCAATGTTAGGAATGATTTGTTTCAATCCACACAGTTGAATGCCTTTGCATAGTGCATAAAACACAGGAAAACATCTTTCTAGTGAAAACATCTCTGCTTTCAACTAAAATCCCTCTGATTATCAGCATCCTCTTCTGAACCTGGCTTGAATTTCTGGCAGTTTCCTGTTGATCTGCTGCAAAATTTTACTTATGTGTGATATTACTGATATTGTCTATAGCCATACCATTCTGAACACATCCAACCTTGTCTGATATTAATGATACTGTTTGATAATCTCTATATTCTGTTGGATTGCCTTTCTTTGGAATGGGTACAGATTTGAATCTCTTCCAATTGGTTGGGCAGGGAGCTGTTTACCAAATTTCTTGGCATAAATAAATGAATGCCTCCAGTACTACAACAGTTTGTTGAAATATTTCAATGGTCATTTCAATTCTGTCAGTTATTGGAGTCTTGTTTTTCACCAATGCCTTCAGTGTAGCTTGGAACTCTTTCTTTAATCATTGGTTCTTTTCTTTTTTAAGGTTTTATTGTGAATTGAGTTATAGTTTACATAGAAGAACATCAGTTTTATATTTATTGTTTCATTGCAATGATTACAGTCTCCTCTGTGTATCATCATTCAACAATATTTGCTTCTATTCCCTCTGTTTTTTGTTTTTCAGTGTGGGGCGGGGAGGGATGTGCACAGAAACACTCAGGAATATATAATCAATGTCTCCTGGCCACCAGCACCTGGCTGCCAGCACACAGCCTTTCTCTTTCCATGAGTCTTAGAGTCCTCAGCTGCTCTATTTCTCCATGCCTTCATTTCTGTCTCCATCTCTGGTGTCACTATTCTCTGGATAGGGTCCCACATTCTGCTCATGCTCTTCTCCCCTGATGGTCCTAGGGTCCCTCTGTTCTTGGTCTGTAAGATTTATTCCCCTCTTTTTGTCACTAAACTTCTACATTTACAGTTG